GAGCTTTGGTAGATGCCAGCTAGATCTCCTCTTGGTCTGCCACCACAAGGCTCTCAAAGTATGAACTGACTGGAATAAGAAACTTTGCAGCCATCTGTATCCTCACCTCAGCTGCAACCTGTACCTGGAGAATTGCTGAAATGTTGCTTTCTGTGGATAGATAGATATATCTATAAATGTTAAGAATTCTTTCCTATGTCCCTTAGCTAAAGCAGTTTGGTTGAAACTCTGTGGGTGTATCTGTGCCTCTATGTGTGAAGGGGAGAGGGAGCTGGGGTCAGAAAGAGCTGAGTTTCTCCACCTCTTCCCATCCAGGCAAGGGACTGACCTCTCCACCTTCTTTTGTTTCTTTTCCAGTGAGTGATAAAGGATCCGACAATTCAGGCCCAGGTAAGCCGCTCCTGAATGAAGAAGAGCAATTCTGCCTCTTAACAAGAGTGCTCAGGGTTCAGGGCGGGGGGGAGATGAAAAGAGGGAGAGCCCGTTTTTAAAGGGCCCCTAATGCACACTCCTTGTGTTTCCTCTGTGTGTGGCTCTGGTGAAACCAGGATTTATTTGGACAGAACTGGAACAAAGGATAGATAAATCTACTGAGATTTAAATTGATATTGTTGCCCTTTCTATGGACTCTTTTTCACATGGTGTAATATCTTAAATGTGGGTGGGAGAATTATGGTTTTTCTCCTGTTTACTTAGATGGCAAGTTGTTCTTGAACAATTAAAATTATTTTACATCAATATATGAACAGAAAGTATCAGATTGGAGAAGTGGTTTCTCATTAAAGGGGGGGCTTAAGGAAAGTTACTGATTTTTTGGCTTGTCCCAAGGAGTTACCAACGTCTCTCTTTTCTTTCAATTTTAATAATTGTGTTCTCTCACTTTCCTTGTTCCTCCTTTTACTCTGTACAAAATCAAGTGCTTCACTTTTCTCCCATCTCATCTCCTTTCCTAGATTTCTAACACAGTTACAAAATTCACTTTTCTCACACTGCTTTGTGCCTGCAGAGGAAAAAGGGAAGTTCTCTCCTTGTTGGATTTCCAGCTTAATTCATTCAGGCAAGGAAGACAACTCCATTGCCTGCATGGCGGAGCCTGGCCCCCTTTGGCGCAAAGAGCTCCTCAGCTCTGGGGTGGGAAATAGAGAAACCATCAGAAATGTCATGAGCCCCATGGGTTAGCGACTGTTCTGGTTGTACAGCCTGGTCTCCTCTGAGAGGTTCATGGAGCTGAAGAGGTTTAATCTGAAGAGAGAGATGCCTCCTCCTTAGAGGATCTGGAGAAGGGAGAGACTCACTCTTTGTCTTTCTTCCCAATGCAGGGAGCAAGGAGGCTATTTAGCAGCCACCTGGCAGGTGAGTGTCCCCGGTGGGGGCTGTATTGGGGGGGAGGAGGAAGGGCGGTGCGGGCTTTCAGGTCAAAGCATCCATTGATGGTGAAGATCCTTTGGGAAAACCCTCTTCTCTCTCAGCTCATCTCATGCACTGAAGGGTGAGGAGTTTGGAGGAGAGGTGGTGGGGGTGTGGGGAGGGGTCAGCTAGGAACAGAAGGGGACCTGACCGCTCCTTGTTGCTGAGCAAGGAATGCACCCTGTCCTCCTCCTCCTCATCTCCAGGAAGGTCCCTTCCCAAAGCAGGAGGTGGGGTTGGCCATTCTGTAGGGCCTAGACTGTGGCACTTCCCAGGGTCTGATTGTCTTACATTCACAAGGCTCAGAGACCTGCAGAGATCAGAGTGCCCCCAGTGCAAGGGGGAGGGGAGGGGAGGGGAGGGGAGGGAAGGGGCAGCAAGGGGACTTCCTTAATGTCCTACAGTCATGGATGGAGAGAAGGCTTCTCTCCCCTCCTTGTGTCCATCTGGGAATCCAATCCTCCAGATGCTGAAGGAAGACCTGGCCATGAAACAATTTGCACTTGGTTCCAGGGGCAAAATTGGGTGAGAATTGGGTTTGTATGTTTGAGCGGGGGAGGGGATCTATAT